GGAAAAAATGAATATTCTTTAAAACCAACCTCATACCTTCCCTGCATGAGTGAGCTCAGTTTTTGAGCATACAAGTTTCAGCGTACAATCCGCTGGTAGCCCTAAAAGTATATTTTCAATACGGATTTTTTTCTAACTCTTAGTGCAGGGACTGAACTCAAGCACCCCAAGTGCGAACTTTAAGGTTCGCCATTCGCCATTAATTTTAATCACTTGATGATTGCTCTGCCAGTATTACTTATATTTCAAGAACTTTAAACCTTTTTCTCCACTTCTTCGGCATTGGAAGTGAAGTTGGAGGTGACAGGTTTAATTTTTACTGGTTGCTTCTTGTTAATGGTGGAGGGAAAATTCACAGTGTAGTTCATTGGATTTATTCCAAAAACATTTTGTTCTTTCAGTGTTTCCATAGATGTCGGTTTTCAAAGACCACTCAATTTTACAAACTGCTGCTATTTTGGTATTTATCTAGTAGCTATTATAATGGGTGCGATTCTGCACCATTAAGTTACAGGGTATTATCTAAGCATGGAGCAAGCATTGGAGTTGCAATTGTTTTGACTAAGAAGTATTTCTGTATATTTTCAATTTTTTTATGACATGTATCTTCAAATCGAATCGATTTCTTGAAAACCAGCAAAAGACAAAATGTTGCTAGGAAATAATCTATACTGTTTATTAGGGTAAATGTAGTAGGATTTGGAAAAATGCTGAACGTTTCGGTCGAAGGATTACAGAAAAACAAATTAACGCGGGTTCTTGAAGCAAAATATTTAATAACAACAGTTGTTTGCGTTCATAATGATGTACCGAGGATGTTTCAAATAATAGTCAACTCCATTGTCTCATAGAATAAAATTCTAAAAGGTTATGTTCAGACTGAGAAAAAAGTTAACTCCGATCAAGTGAACAGGTCCATACAATTAGTTCGCACCCATTGGACAATATTTTTATCTGATAATTTCTCCTCTGTCCTAAGGCTAGTATGGACCATCTGACAACAATACGATAATAGTTGCAGTGACTAAACCTTCCCAGCTATCCTAACTCTAACGGACAAATTTAGAGGTAAATTGAAGTATAAAATACGTTTGATAAGTCCGTATAATTATCGGGGTTGCAAGAGTATACGTACTATATAACGCCAAAAAATTGTGGTATAGCCTTCCCACCACCTTTACAACCCTATAACATCAACTTTTTCCTCTCAACAAAAATCCCTAAAAAGCTTCTTCGTGCTTGGCTTAGTCTTTTAAAAAAATTTCGTCAAAACTGGAGCGGTATCTTCCAAGTTATAGTGCCGTAGCGTCAGTCGTTCCTACAAATGGCCTCCTTGATTTTTATATTTTTCTACTGTTCCGTGTCAGCACTCTAATTTGAGGTTATGTAACAAATATTTACTTGCATCAAATTGTTCGTGCTTTTGATTTATATCATCTGTTTTATGAGCCTGAAATTTCATACACTTCAAAACGAAAACGTAACTTCACAATAGGGGAGCGCTGACGATGACACGGAATAGTAGAAATCTAGAAATATCCCAGCCTTTCTCAATGGGAGAAAAGACTACGAAAATCAAGGAGGTGATTAAGACGTCCTACAATTGTAGGAACGACTAACGATACGGCCCATAGAGTGTCACTACGCCACTGAGCTAGGGAGTATTGTAATTGCTAATGATTTCTAAAATTGGATATTATATTTTCTGGATGTTATATGACATCATTAGAAACCAGGTCAGTCATTTCCGTCTGTCGGTCTGTCTGCCTGTCTGTCTGTACGCCTGTCCGGTAATCCTTGGTCTCTCTACAACTTGGGAAGTACTGCTTGTATTTGGATGAAATGTTCACAGAAGGTTACTACTACGCCAGTGACAAAAAATGTTTGTGGTGTGGTGGAGAAAAGTTAAAAACCGGAAGAATGAAAAACTATTAACCATATTCCACACACATTATAGGTCTCCCTCTGCTATCTGGGCTAAGCGCTCGGTGTAACGGTCTGATTGATTGTTCTGCTCATAGCACTGCGATGCTTCTGTGGGCGCTTCCGCATCTGACGACATGGGAATTAGCAACGTTGCCAGATGGACGATAACTACCGGTTGGGCAGGGAAAAATGTCTATGATTGTCTTATTTGACCTTCTTAATACGTTTAATTCCTCTATTGTGCGCAACTATTTTTTTTTCTCATATTGCTTAAGTTTAACATATTATGAATTGAGGATTGAGTCAACCTACAAAAAAACAAAAAATCCAAAATATCGACAAACAAACTGGGTTCCTTTGAACTGATTCTTATCACGCTGGGATTTTAACTTTTATAATGACATAAAGTATCTTCTATTTGATACTAAAAATTATAAAGAGGCCTTCAAGGAGACGTATACATCGTAGGACTGGAGGACTGTTTTAGAGTATTGTGTTTCCATATACCCTAAGGTAGTGGTATAGAGTAATGGGGAGCAGTTGCTTTAATTATAGTTTGAAGGTTCCCTTATGCTAAGGTCTAACTTCGTGGGTTGACGTACGCAGCAACGTAAAGAGCATATAAATTTTATTGCTGTAACTGAGTACGCGATTTACGAGGCGGTGAAGCTTTTGTATACAACAAAGTTGATTTCCGCTGTGAAACTCGAAGTACAAGTTTGGCTGTGAAAAGTCAAACAGACTGATTAATCAGCTTTTTCGACCAGGCAGCATCTTAGCACAACAATGAACCCAATTTCGCAAATCCGCATCATCCCAAAAAACAATTCGCGGTTGAGGCCGGGTGAATTTCTTGCGAGCGGTATTGATAATATTATGTAACAAAGAAGGAATTTAGCTGACAAATAAGTGCGGCAAGGAGTTGGCTAAAGTAGTATTTCGTACTTTTCGCACTGAAACCGTGATGAAAAAAGTTAGAGTAGTGGCTCGTATCTGCTTTTTTCTGTTACATGGTAAAATCCCAAGGGAAAAGGGCAATAGCTCTATGTGGTTCTGTCATACGTTTGAGACTTTCATTACCCGTCTCTTTATGTTTTCCAGAATCTGCTCCTCTTAGTCTGATACTCAAGAATCCCATACTGCTTTTATGCGAAATATCTAAGCCTAGCAATTTTAATGTCATATGAAATCATATGTCAGCCTAAATAAATGCTGCATAACTATATTATGAATAACAAACACTACAGAAATAGAAAAGGCCCAACAATAGGTAAAAATAAATTCAATAATTGAAGAGGGAATCACAATGGAACGCATTTATTGAATTATAAGCCTTTGTTTTTATATACTATCTTTTTTTGGACTAACCAAAAAGGCAAAAATAGACAGTCGGAACAAGTTAACGATGCAGAATATACTTGAAGGCAGTCAATTTCATGATGGTGTCATGTGTAGGCTAATAATTGTAGCATAAGCGTTTTTAAGTTATTAGCATCCGGGATGATTTGTGGAGCATATTTTTTGAGTTGGATTATCGTTATCTTTGGTAAGGTATCACAATGACTGTGTTGACGGACAGGCTGACTTTCCTACGGTGTTTGAAAAGGCGGCATTTTTTTGTTCAAAGCTTTATACAGTCCAGTTTTCAACGGGATGCTGTTTTTTATGTAAAATATTCCAAAATTTTGGTTTTTATCGCTTCAGCTTTACTAAAATTCAAGCTCTTACAGACATTTAGAGATGAAAGTACGCTACGTTAGAACAAAAAATTGGCAACAGTGTTCAAATATCACTTCTCAATCCAGCATAAAAAAGGCTGCCTAAGAGCATATAGAAAAGAAAGTGGGTGTAAAAGAAGCCAATGGTTTAGAAAATTGGAACACGCTCAATAGACAAATGTTTTTCTCTTTCGTTTGATCTCCTTCCCGGTAATGTAAGCGATAAGACTTTTGACTTCAAGCTGCATTTTACGTTTGCATGTTTGTTTCAAAACTGTTTGTTGCAAAACGCCTTGCTTCGAACGCGTATAATCAATTACGTCTCAATAATGCTGGTTACCATAGCGACACGCAGTCAAGCAGCACGAGATTATTATTACCGAGCACTCAACCACTTTGTAGATCTGGCGAAGCAAAGCTGTTAGTCTCGGTCGGTACTTAGCGAGAAGTTTGCATCTCCAACTGGATGCAGTAAAACTTTATTTTCTGCAAGTACCGATCGCAAAGTACCGCTTGTCACCCTAAACTAAAGCGATAAAGTAGAGCACTTACTTCTGGTTATACATATTGTGATATAATACGCCTAAGTTCTTTTTATATTCACAACCATACTGTAGGAAAAAGTTGACTGTTGCGGTTGTGAAGATATAAGCAAGTATGTTGGATCTATGAAAGAAAAAACGTTATACAGCGCTTTTGCAAAATGTTTCGCTCATTTATTTTGTAACGGATCAAGTAAGAAAGCTGAAATTAGAGGTGATGAAATGAATGCATGGATACTATTTGAGCTCGGTAGGGTGAAACTATGAGACAGTGTTGATCTATACTCTAGGATTATGTGTACTGATTGTTTAGTTTAATGCTTTTATAATATAATTTGATCGCTCAGCTGCAGATGGCCTTACTTACACCGCTTATGTTAGCTCAAGTGGGCAGAGGACAGACTAAAACAATATGGCGTCAATTTGTAAAACCGGGCAAGTCAAAGCAAATTTTGTCCGCTATTACTGTTAATCCTTTCCAGTTGTCTTCCAATAATAAAAACTACCAAATTCTTACATCAGTATTATATAGTAATTCGCGCAACCCCAATTAAACAGAGAATCGAGTTACCCAAGTGTATCTGGAAGAACATAAGAACTGGACCCAAACACCACCACTGATAAAGAGACTAAGAATAAAGTATCACATGATCGCCCATTAGACTTACAAGTTGTTCCAATATGGTGCCCAGTCACTTTCTTAAATTTTTCAGTTCTTACATTTCGTTAAAATATAGTAAAGATGCACCACTTTCAACTTCTCAAAGATCAGCTTACTTAACTTGAGCCGTTCCAAAAAACAATTACAACTTACCTTCATCTGGTCCCCATGTAGCACTTTCTGACGGGGTAAGCGTTTGCCTAGGCGTTCTTGATCCGTCTGGTAGCAAACTATTCCTAGGGCTTCGGTTGTATTCCGCTATGCTCAGCCTTGAGCCATACATTCCGTTGTTATCAGGTGTCAGGCTATGTCTAGGCGTCCGATTAGGCTCGGGCACTAGGCTATTCCGTGGACTCCTGTTGTATTGGTCGGGTACTAAGCTGTTTCTTGGACTACGAGAATAGTCGCCAGGGGCTAAACTGCCTCTGGGACTCCGCTGAGACTCCGGTACCAGGCTAGAACGATAAAGTGGCGTCAAGTAACTTGACTTTGAACTTCACACACAATTGTGTCATCGGTTATACTATTTTGAATTTATTTTCAAATCTAACGCTATAGGAATGATCGAAAATATCGGTGAATCCAATCATATGAGAGATATAAGGTCGATCCACTTGGCGCAGATTTTAAGAAACTAAATTGCATAACGTGGAGTAAGCCATTGTGGTAGCTGCCAGATCGCAAGTGTGACTTTGAAATTGAAACTTGACCAAGGACGTTCACTTAACTGCGGTATGTCGTAAAACTATCTACACAGATACTTCTTAATAATAGAACAGCGTTCACTAACACCGTATATGCAACATTTACATCCTTTTGTTCTGAACACCTACATGAAGGTATACCAAATTCAATGAGCATTCTTTGGTACTACTCGCCAAGGTTCACTTCACACAACATACAAAACAGGAAAAGCAATCTCTTGAATATTCTTAGGGCCATGCTGCCTCTCAAATGTCTGCCAACACCTGATAAAATACTCGCCACACGCCTATTTTTTCGCTGAAAACATAAACTGGAGTCAGTTTTATAAAGATCCATCAAGAATATTTCTCATGTTATGTAGCGTATTATTGAACCAATTGATTTTGGTAGTCTTTTTTCAGTTGTCGTGAGATACTCGACATTTTTGTAGTAGGCGAGCCCCCATTCTAATTAAGTGAATTAATTTTTCGAATTTAAACTCAACATTTGGCCTTTCGTCTATAAAGCCGGTATACTTTTTCAATTGCATTATAAAGCGGAAATGGACGGATGATACTCGTTCAAATGGTCCAACATCTTGACATCCTTGGTAAGCTGACTTATGTATGGTAATTCATTATTCATTAATGCTATATTCCTGCGCCTAAAAAATTATCCGAGATAAAATGAGATACCGTAGCATCATCTATGGTATGAGAAGTTGTTACAGCTGTTTCTCTATTTACTATATACAGGGTGACTTGTAATGTCACGTATTCCTGTTAAGCGGTGATAGATTAGGCCAAAAGCAACAGATTTTGTCCTATAATGTCCTATCAAGAAGTTAACCGTTTTTGAGTTATTTGAATTTTATTTTTTTTATTTTTTATTCCGATTTGAGACGGTTAAATTTGAAATACAAAAAAACTACATGTTTGATTTTGAGTTTTTTGTTATCGTCGCATAGCAGACATTCCAATAGTTCATAATAAGTAATAAAATCTTGAAAACTTACAAATGTTTTAAAATTAGGCTTTTAATATGTATGATTTTCTTATTTTTTTACTAACTTATAGGGCCAGGCAATGGGCCCGCCTCTGCCAATCCATTGATTTGGAAATTTATAGTCTAAATACGCCCGTACTAATCTACTGTAGTGTGCGGGACAGCCGTCAAGTGATTTTTCAGGAACCCTTCATACACTTCTCCATTTAAATTGGCGGGCAGAAAATGAGGTCCAATTAAATATCCATCAATGATGCCCAACCACACATTGACTGAAAACCGGCTCTGAGACCCCGTCGGTCTTATTTTTCGGGGGTTTAAAGCTTCTTTATCAGCCCAGTAATGAGCATTATGGTACTTAGTGATCCCGTCCTTATCAAACTTCGATTCATCGGTCCACAGAATTTCCTTAAAATAGTCTGGATCTTCTGTATTTGCATGTAACATGTACCTGCAGAAATCTAATCGTCTTGCAGGATCGCCCTCTTCAATCACATGCACAGGCATGTAGTGATAAGGGTATAATCTTGCAGTATGCACAGTAAACCATACTTTGTATTGTGATATACCCAACTGAGTAGCCACAATGCGCGTAGACGTAGTAGGGTCTTCCTGAAACACACGAAGGATTTCCTCTTCATCTTCAGGAAGATAGACTCGGGGTCGACCAGCATCACTATGTAGCCTTTGAACACGTCTGGTTTGGCGGATGCGCCGATATACTGAGTCAAACACAGTAACATGAGGTGTTCGGCGGCGATTCGGAAAACGTTGCCGATATTCACGGCGGACAGCTGCAGAATCGCCGTTACAAAGTCCATAACAGAACATTATGTCTGCGTATTCTTCATTTGAAAAAGTTTGCCCGTGCTCGCTATGGCGAGGTCCTGGCGGATCTTCTGCGTCTGCCATTATGATAAAGAAACGACTCGAAATGAACTGGGAAACTCGAAAATAATAATCGTGCGTAAAGCGTGTGCGCGTACGCAGTAGTTGGTACCAACTAAATCTAATTCTCACTCGGCATGCGATGATGGCGTAACTACAATGATGAATAATAACAGCTCTCTCTCTCTCACTCCTCCACTAAGTCAGCTCTTCTCGCTCGCTTCCTTGTCGAGCCGATGCCATAAAACAATCATGGCATGCCAGTCCTTTGAGGACAGTAACGACTTGTAACAGGTACTACAAATTCCTTAAAAATCCAGCCTCTGTACTTCAGATAATTGAACCCTTAATACCTCAAATGAAAGCTTGTTAGATAGAGATATTATTTACATAATTTGCACATTTCATTACTATTAGATTTTTTACAGAAAATTGCATTTTTTATCGAATAAGTTAGAAAAAAAAAGAAAATGATACATTTAAAAAGCGTAATTTTAAAACGTTTGTAGCTTTTCAACATTTTATTACTTATTATGAACTATTGGAATGTCCGCTATTCGACGATAACAAAAAACTCAAAATCAAGCATGCAGTTTTTTTGTATTTCGATTTTATCCGTCTGAAATCGGAATAAAAAATAAAAAACTCAATTCAAATAACTCAAAAATCGTTAACTTTTGGATAAGGCATGATAGGATAAAATCGATTGCTTTTGACCTAATCTATGACCCCTTAACGGGAATACGTGACATTATTAGTCACCCTGTATACTTTATAAAGGTTGGTAACTCATACATGTCGCCATCCATATGACCTTAGATATACAAGCATGTAGGTGGCTACCGTGCCATCTATTAAACAAAAAAAGCAAGTGTAAGTATATATGATAAATATATAGGAGCAGATGTGACAAATTCTCATATATGACGCTACAGTATCTCACTTTAGCACGTATAATTTTACCCGATCCAATATTGGAATCATTTGTACCTGTATATATACTCATATGTTACTTGCGATGCTGTGCAAAATGCAATGTTCTTCTATACAACACGTGCTGTTAAATTCAGTGTAGCTACATATAAACAGTGGCTATTCCAGATTCTGACGCGAAAAATGCACTACTACTACTACAGCCTCAAACGGGCTTGAAGCCTATGAATAAAAAATGCCCATTTTTCCTCGAAATTCGACTCTTCCTCTAGCACTCTAAATGTTTCACTACTGCCAGTATCCAAAGCTACTCCCAGCAACACAATCCACGAATCTCACAGTAGACCTTATTTTCTATATCACGAAGATTAAAATTTGAGAAAGCTCCGAAAATATTTCCGGGCAAATTACTCGTCTACTCATGGACAAAAGGAATTGAAGGACGAATACTATGCTCATACAAACTTCATAAACAGAAAAATAAGCCACCTATAAATTTCGATCACGATGATGGTCACCAAGTTTCTTATCGCATCCCATACCGATGACCTAAGTGCTGTGACTGTGTACAATCAGTTTTGGTTGACATTAAAAAATGAAGTAATTTTCTAGACATTAGGAGCCATATTTTGGAACGAGGGAATGGTATTGAGAGACAGTGGGCAATGATCCCAAATTCTGTCAACTATTGAAATTGGTCAAACAAGTTTGTTAATATGCTTATTTTCGGCAGAAGAATATGTTCCTGGGTGCTCCGCATCAATAATCATTCCATCACAGTGAGGCTGATGGGTGACAGCATGACTTTCCCCCTTTGTCTCCTGAGCATGCCTAGGTAGCCGACAGTTCTATTAGTGCTCAGGTATATAGTTTATCGAAAGGTAATAGATCCCGCTCAATTTTTCTCAGTGACTTTATTCCCTCATTTTAAGATTATGGTCCTTGGTATGACACACATGAAGTGGTGTCAGGACTAATATTTCATGAAAGATGATACGTATGATATGCTCACGCAAACTTCGTAAATAGAAAAATAAACCACAATGATGGTCACCTTTTTTACCGCATCGCGTACCGCTGATCTAAGTGCTGTTACTGTGTACAATGAGACACACAATGGCGTACCATCAATTTTCGTTGACATTTACCAATGACGCAATTAGCTAGACATTAGGATCCATGTTTTGGAACGAGGTAATGGTATTCAGAGACAGTGAGCGTAGGCTCTCTTCTCTGGGCAATGACCCCAAATTCGGCCAACTATTGAAATTGGTCAAACAAATTTGTGAATAGGTTTATTTTCGGCAGAAGAATATGTTCCTGGGTGATCCGCATCCATAAAAATTCCATCAGAGTTCATTTCATAATTAAAGACTGATGGGTGACAGCAAGACTTTTCTCCTTTGTGTCCTGAAAATGGCTTGGTAGCCGACTGTTCTGTTAGTGCTCAGGTACATACTCCTAGTTTATCTCAGTGATTCTATTCCCTCATTTCAAGACTATGGCTTGGTATGACAAGAATGGAAGAATAAAGTGGCGTCAAAACTAATATTTCATGAAAGATTATTCAAAATATCGAAAATTGAATCCAAAATCCTATGCGTCCAATTTGAAGGCCCAAGTACAAGATTCACATAATATACTCATAGAGCTGGCATCTCTCCCTTCCAAAAAATAATTATCTGGATCTTTCATTTCGGCAGGCGTATGAATTGTCAGCCCAATAAGACAGTGAACATTTTCGAAGAAAGCAATTTGACTGCGTTACCTACCGAGCAAATAAGATGGAAGTTGGATATAGTGTTTGAGGCGCTTGAGCAATGTTGATACCGGAATAGTTATACATTCAACAGTGCCTTCCACTGACATGAATAGCAGGAAAATGGAAAAGTTACCAGACCGCTAGAATTCACATTTCCTCGAACCACCAAACTTTGAACGCGTCACCAGATCCAACCGTGCGACCTGGGACCCTGAAATTCCACAAAGCTTCACACCTCCATAAATAATCTTCAGAAAAACGTTATGATTCCGATCTAAAATTGATCTGCCTTGCTGGGTCGTAGAATCTAATGTTTCGTATAGTGCTGACCAGGTAGAAAATTTCAACAAAGAACATTAAAATCAAACATCGAATCCAGCCAGGTTCTGTAGACTACAGATTTAGAAATATGTCAATAAGAGGTGTCCAACATAACATTGCGGCGCTTGGTGTCGCGACAATCACAGAGTAAATTAAAAAAAATGCAAGAAAGCGTCAACGACTTTGTCAAAACGTGAATGTCAAGAAGCATCACCTATAACTCCAGGGATATCTAAAACAGGAGTTCAATAGAACGAAACTTTCAGAACTGTGTCAATAAAAGAAAAGGCAAACGTGTGAAGTTATGGGGTGTAACAAACAGACGTTCCAATTGAGTGATAGTAGGACTTACGGCAAACAGCCGTTAGTTTGGACTAGTTATGTCCTAAACAGCTCAACAAATATTCATATGGTGTGGGTGACACCTGATGTCCTAATTAAAATTACTATTGCTGATATTCAGAATCAACAATTGGTTCACAAAAGATGCACTCACTCGTTAAATTTTGCAAGACCCAATTTCTTAAAAACGAAAATGTAAATTTTAAGGTGCACTGAAAATATTTCCGAACACAAACGTTTACATTTTATCTGTCCGAGGTTGCCGTGGAAAGCTTTCAGCATAATGATGTCCGAAGCGTACAGGCGATAAGCTTTTATGCTTTCACGGGGATCGGCTGCTTGATAAATCACAAATACTTAGATAAAATGAGATACTTTGACTTGACAGCGGAATTCCGCGTTGAATTTTTTGAGTGGATTTATTATATAATTGTGACTGTTCGATGGTATTTAACTTCACGGAGTGCCTTCTGTCTATAAAATGAGTCGCCAAACGGTATCTTTCAGGCACTTGTCAACTTTGGTAATCCCAGCTGCTCTCCGCTGTACAACTTGTCACGTAAGGCATATCCATCTCATAGCTTAGCTTGCTACATAAGCAGTTGTTTCATTACTGTTATTGTTTCAAAACTATTTTTGATACTATGCTTTCCTATGAAACTCGTAGAAGCAAACATGCAAGGAACTTTGTATTTTGTGATTTTGTATATGAATTATTTAGTCATTGCAGCAGATGCATCAATTCCATTATGGTCGGTTCATATCCAAACCCCATATGGACCATGATCCAGAAAAGTCGATTAGATGACTTTTATGCTACTACTTGGTCATAATACTTACGTGTTATTTTAATTTTTGTTCACATAACACAGAGTTTTTAGTATAGCTGCCGAAGCGAAAGTTAGAATATTAGCTAACTACCCACATTTACGAGCCCCTTCCCACTTCAGTTGGCCCAATTCAAGATATGTACCAAAATATGCCTTTATAAACTAAACATGACGAAACTATTTACTTCTAAAACAATTTATTTTCTCAAAAACATTTTAGATACACTCTAGTCGTAAAAATATATATTTGAAATCACTTAGACCTATAACTAATAGAACATCTGAACAAATAAACAATATGCGAATAAATGCGCGAAATTAACAAAGCAACAATTGAAAGATTACCATTGGATAACATCACCTTTATTTTTTATTACGGCTGAAATTCTTTGGGGCATAGTGTTAACCAAGTTTTGGCAAAAATTTGGTGTAAAACAATCCCATATTCCTTGAAGCTTTTATCTCAGTTCAGTGATTGTACGAGCAGGATGTTGTCGTTGAACATTTTTCATCTCGTGCCACAAAGTTTCAATAGGTGACAGATCTGGACTGCTAGAAACCCATTTCAAAAGTGGTACATTATTTTCTTCCATCCATTTTATAGCCTTTTTTGCGGTATGGCACGCTGCACCATCTCGCTGAAACACAAAATCTTGGCCTTGACGTCCGGCCAAGATTCTTCCATCTTCCATCACTGGTATAAGCGATTCTTCTAAAATTGCCAAATATTTATTTGTATCCACATTTCCATCAATAAAATGAAGTGTTCCTACTCCTTTTGATGACGTACTGCCCCAGACCATAATGGATGCTGGAAATTTTACTTTTCTCTTCAGACAGTCAACATGGAATGCTTCATTTGTTTTGCGAATAACTCTACTGCTACTGTCACCAACAACAAACTTCGAATCCGGCCTCATCACTCTATTGTATTGCACACCATTGTTGAGGTGTCCATTATCTATGTTCATTAGTCCATCTAAGCCGATTTTTCTTCTGCAGTGGAGTTAATAGTGGCTTTTCTTTGGCCTATAAATAAGTTGGGCAACTTTAGGGTTTTTACTTCACTTTTTTTTATAAGAAAACTTATCTTGCAAGTGCTAAATCCCAGTTTGTGGGCCTCTCTATCAGTTTTGGACCTCGAAATTCTCCTTCCGTCAGCGTCACTCCACAGAGCACTTAATTGTAAATAATTGGCACGCCTGTTTTTCACGATTATTCTTCTTAATGCTCTTCGGTCGGCGTTTGTGATATTACTTTTTTTCACATATCGTGGCTTAACATTAACTGAACCAGTTACGTTATATCTCCTAACAATATTTCTCACACTGTGCCGTGATAAGTCTAACAAAGTTGCAATTTCTGAGTTTGATTTCCCAGAATTAGAAAATTTAATTATCAGTAACCGAATTTTCTCACTAACAACCTTTCCTCTACCCATCTTGAAAACCTTAACTACCCAAAACTATCTTAAACGTATTCTGACAGCTGTGATTAATAGAAACAATTGTCATGGCTTTTATTTTTCACAGCCACCTATGCGTTATAGACTTATTTTGCATTGAAATGAAAATAGGTTGATATGCTGTAATTGCAACATGGGTTATTTTTATGGTGCAAATTTAATTAGGGAGTGATAAAGTTGGTGTTTTCTACTATATATTATCAAAATATTCATTGTTAATATTTTAAGCCTATAACACCCTGCTACATTTTTATTATTTGTGTTTGATAAGAGAAAAACTAAGATTTCAATAGTTGGGCCAACTGAAGTGGGAAGGGGCTCGTATAACAAATAAGGATGGGTCTATTCAAAAGATTCTAATGAAGTGGAAACCTTACTTGGTATGTTCACCTACCCATGATAGGGACCATATGTGTGAATATTATATCACTGCCATCAGACACTTAAAGGTAGTAGAAAGTCGTTTACTGATGTTATAGATGTAACGATTACAACCTTGTTCTGGACATCTAAAGAAAGGTATATCGGATTCATTGATGTAATCTCCGTTTCTACCATTCTAGGATAAAAAATCTACCTTTGGTTGACTTGTAAGCAGATGCAATGTCTGAAATATTCCTAAAGCCACCACTGGAATCTCCGCCAACCCCTGGGAAAATATACGCCGCACACATGTTTTTGCTAGCTTGCGTCGAGAACATGGCCTACGCGAAGGTATACGCGTAATTTCACCGATAATGCGGGTTAATTTACTGCTATCATCGGGCGGTCGCACACGCGAGTCGATACTCTAGTCGTGTAGTGGTAAAAGTAATATTCAATTTGTATGACTTGAACTTACTACCGTTTTAAAATACTTTTCTATTAGATCTTACAGATACGTAGTTTTACTAGAATCAGAAACTTCTTACTCACTGATAACAAAAGTGCAACATTCCCTTAATCTCAAACCCTCAATTTGCAGCATAGTTAGCTTTGGAAGTTCGTATAAGAACTGGCAAACTTAAAATCATATTCCAAGTCTTGGTAGCATTAGTTCTCCTAATCTCGGTGTTAGGGCATTAGCCAAACTTTTGCAAAATTTTACAGGTAAATGTTGATGCTTCCAGCTAATCCGTGACGAATTAGTTTGATTTGACTTACCTGTTCCTAGGACTCCTGTCGAAGTCTGGAACTAAGCTAGGCCTTGGACTTCGGTTGTGGGTTTCTGCAGCGGGATTTCTTTCTCTTTCTCTACAGTTCATTTGGGTGTCCAGTGATATATCTGGTATAATCGAGTGTCTCGGACTTCTGTTCGCTTCTGGCATGAGTGACCCGCGAGATCTGCAGCAAAAAATATTTTCGCATGAAAGCATGTTTTCATCAAGAAGGTATTGAGGCAGTTTCAATTCTATATTTTTATCAGACTCCTGGGACGCTGAATCCATGTCCGAAGATTTTTAATAATATAATTTCATCATCCGAAATGAACTGAATAAGCGGTTTCAAAGGCTATCGTCGATTTTGTTATCAGTTGCTCATATTTCGAAGGCATTCAGACTTTTCTATTTTTGCTATTTAATGCATTGAAAATGTTGACCTCACATTTCTCTCCAAAACTTATTTATTATTAATTATTTTATCCATTAGTTAGACCCCTCATTATTTTGTCGGGTTTGTTCGTACAGCGGTCGGTAACTTGTCGGTGACTGTCAAAATCAGAATCAGAGAGATGTTACCTGTTCGTACAGTTTCTGACTGTTTGCCGTCAGCTAATCCGCTGTTCGTACAGAACCTTCTGACTGATCAAAGGACACCAGCTAATCAGTGACAGTGACAGTGACAGGTATCAGAGCGTGTCGAAACTATCTTAAGGACTAAAATTGCTTCGCAAAAGGCATTTAATGATCGATTACTATTATCTGATGGACGGTCTCCAGAAGTGACCGATAAGACCGCTCCTTTTTCCCGAGGGTGTCGAAATCATGAGAAGCTTTTCGCAGTTCTATTAACCTTAGTTCAAAAATAAGGATAAAAAAAGTTCTTTAAGCTCCTCATAGCAGCCTCGGTGTCCTGGCATGTAGGTTTCACTTGCACGGCTTTTTCGGTGTAACAAAAAAACTGAGAGATACACCAAGGAGATGGAGACGTTGAAGATCTACAGGAGGAGAGAATAAAATCCAAAAACTTGAATTTTGTGGAGAAAACAGTGCCACAATTCAACAGCAACAAGGTTTTGTAACATTTTCTGGTGAGCAAGTGGCAGAAGAAATTTCAATGAATTTCCATTTTAAATATCACACAGCGCCAATGTGCTCTGGGCTCAATATTTTGTTTATTGACCCTGTAATGGCAAAACGAAGATAACGATTACAGTATGAAAAATCCGAACAATAGCGGACAATACTTTCAAGAACCATAAATAATACGATTTTTTGTGATCACTAATCTTTCGAAAAATTTTGTTACAGTTGCAAAATGCGAAACTACGCCATTTAAGTCTTACTTCTATGTATTTTCGTAGTCTCAGTTCTTTTTGTCGATGTCGGGAACTCTGTGAAACTTATAGCTATGTAAGCAGATCTTGATAATTGAAGTTATGTTCAGCCGTCGTTATTAAATCCTTGTAGTATTTTCACATACTGCGTCACAGTATTATCTTGCACTGAAACGAGACGGAACTTAAGACAAGGACCTCTTCATTTCAATACGCATTTCAGAATTAAATGAGGCCACTCAGAGCTACTCAAGTTGTAAATCAAAATTTGAATAAACTGTCCACTGAGACATAAGTTAGTTTGAGTAATAACTTGAAAGGAATAAAAAGTAATACAAGGAGTGAAGAAGTCAAAGATTGTGTGTAAAATGTTTACACATTTTTTACGAATCACGGTCAGGGAGTGATAGAATTCTACGAATTGTAGTCCGAATGTCGCGCTTTAGTTTTGTATTTTCTGCACGCCTAATAAGATGGGGTCTTACCAATTGATCAACAAGAATTTTTGGAAATTCTGTTTTTTCCATCTTTGTGATATTTTTGAACGACTGATGAAGAACATGAGCATTTACACCACAAATATCAAGTAACTACGGCCAGATCGCATTCTGTTTGGTGGTCTACTAGCGTACAAAGAATTTTGACTTTCCAGTTTTTGAATTATGCGACGCTTAGCGAGCTGAGACGGTGCACCATGACGACCATATTTAGCACGAAATACTCTTTGAGTAGCGACAACACTTCTTGAACTTTGATTGAATATTTAGTCGATCTCCAAACTGCCTTACTGAACACAAAATAACTCAGCTGTCAGAAAATAGACAACTAAGATGGCGGCGATAAGCTGTCAAAATCCTATCATCCCAATTGGGAAACCCTGTAGTATAATTCCGATTCATTCTTTAGGATCTGAGCTGCCAAAAATAACCCACAAAGCTGACAGGAAATCACACTGGCTATACAAAAATCTCAATAGATATAGTAACACAGACACCGTAGACCGGTCACTGTGACCGCTGTGTAACTTTTGTCGTATTTCTATTGTAAACCGATAAAAGTGCCACCTTCAACTTCTAGCGACAAACTGGCCACGTGGCTACTTGAAGGTAGCAAGGATTTTGCCTGATTATATTGAAATGGGGGTAATAGGTGTATATATAGAAATAAATATGTGCTGCGGTCTCAGAGACCGCACTACGGCGGTTAAGGGTTAAAACGACCCTAAAATAACTCGAGCTTTTTAAACTATTCCACGCACCGGGTTTTAATACAGATAACTCACAACAGCGGCATATGAAAACTATATAAGAAGACCAGTGCGTTAGTGTCGTGTGTCACTATATCTGGAGGTTATTATGTATCTCTACCATCAAGCGGCGTAGCCTTGCTGAAAATGTTTAGTATAAAGCACAAATAAAATCAGTTTGGTAAAGTCAGCGTATCGTTAGATGGACAGGAAAGCAATGGCTCCCTCCTTAATATTAGATACTCCAACTATCTTCTGCCACACCACTCCTGTAATCAACTATATAGTGAATGCTAACCTTTTTACAATATCTCATAGGGTTACCAATAAAATTTTTGCTTTCTACCTTCATGTACAGTCCAAAATATTTACAAGACTTAAGTGCCGTATCGTCAGTCGTTCCTACAATTGTAGGACCCCTTTATCGCCTCATTTATTTTCATAGTTTTCTAATTTTAGATGTCACTGCTCTATTCTGAGGTTATGTCAAAAATATCTATTTGAATCAAATTGTTCATGCTTTTGATTTATATCATGTCTTATCAGCCTGAAATTTCCTGCAATTCAAAAGAAGACATAACTTCACAATAGAAGAGCGCTGACGCTGACACGGAACAGGTGCAATCAAGAATTTTTTAAAAGAGAGAAAAGGCCATAAAGGCGTCCTACAATTGTAGGAACGACTGATGATACGGCCCTTGGTGATTTTTATCTACTATATCAGCATTCTGCATTTACGAAGGCAATAAGCATGATTCAAATTATTTAACACTGGGTAATTCTTAATATAAACGATGATCACTTATCGATATGTAAAGTGACGTCCTCTAATCTTCTTATATCTATAACCGCTCGGAAAAATTTTTATAGACAACTTAATATAAGGTTTTCCATGCAATGTATTATTATATACTAGGTATCTGAGACGAGTGCTTGAGGAAAAAAGTTTTATTTTCTTAAAAATAACATATTTTTGGTAATTATACCGGCTGGAATTGATATACCAGGTATCTCAATTTCCGCTCTCATAATTGAGAACTCAGAAAAAGTTAGTAATACAAAATAGGTTAAAAGAACGCAACATTTTGCGTTTGATATTGGCACTAAGAAAGTTTCGAAATTCGGTGTACCTACTTGGTATTCCAAAATCGCTCATATTTTATCCAGATTGTATTTGAGATTGAATTTCAAAAAAAATTGTTCAACACTATTTTTGCCACTTTTTTCCTTTACAGTGAGTTATTATCAAAATTCAAATACATGTATGTCGTTTCGTATCTTGTCCTCCATCATTAAGATTGTTTTTTTAGATCAATGCCATATTAGGATTTTGTAGACCTGACTGAAGTTTATATATTACTGGAAACGGCAAAAAGAAGTATAATTTTTACTAAAAACATACAATGTAGAAAAGGCTAGAATGAGGGTTAACTCATAGCGAGGCACCCCGTACAACCAGTTCTTACTACTAAGGAATCCTAGGAATACCTCTTTGTGCGAACAGTCTTTGGAATTTGTATCTATATAATTGTATTTGGCAAATAAGTTATTATCATTATTATTATTACTATTTCAATTACATACTCTCGACCTCCTCTGATCGGACAGTACCAGCCACCGGAGCCCAACAAGGGTTCTGAGGTATAGGTGGCTCTTATGTTAATACTCTTCTCAGGATGTGGGCTAAATCCTAGCAGTGCAATCTTTTGCAGTTCATACATATCTGGCTTTCCTGGTATTTGATCTAAGTACGTATGCATTCCCTTTTTAATTGGTTCCAATGAGCGAATTATAACTGGTATAACTTTAGCTTTTACTTTCCATATGCGCTGTACTTCTATCTGTAAATCTTTATATTTTGAGATCTTTTCTGCCTCCTTCATAGTAATGTTCTGGTCGTCTGGGATAGCTACGTTCACAAGTATGCAAGTTTTATCTGACCTATTATGAATGACGATGTCGGGACGATTAGCCGATATGGTGCGATCAGTTATAATTGAATGGTTCCACAGTACTGTGCATTCGTTTGAGTTGATTACCGGGGGCGGGTTATGACTATACTATGTTCGAGACACGTCAATCTGTCAAACTGTGCACCCTGTAAGGACGTGCTGAATTGTTTCCTCTTTTGTGTTGCACCTTCTACATCTGCTATCGACTGGTATGGCCAGAATCTTGCGCTGGTGGTATCTTGTGTTTACGGCTTGATCCTGGGCTGCTATGAGCAAACTTTTGGTTTCTCCCTTCAGATCTGAACTGTACAACCAAGATAGCGTGTTCTGTCTATCTATGTAAGGATTTTCCAGACTATGGAAGAATTGACCATGAAGTGGTGTGCGCTTAATTGATTCGATTCTGTGCTCTTCAATGTTGTTTCTGAGAGCAAGTTGTTCCCCCTTTGTTTTGACTTCGGTTGGAGCCTGTTCCTCAGGGAGATACTTCGTACGGACACCTTCAGATATTTTTAGCAAAGAGTATTTTGCCTTATTTGCTTCATGTTGTTTCACCAATTCTATCATACGATCGGTGTTGTTTTAAATGTATTTGCTGAGATTGACGATGGCAATGTTGTACGCAGATTCAATCTCAATTAGTCCACGACTTCCATTCCTTCTTTTTAGATAGAGCCTATCGACATCGGATTTGGGGTGGTGCATACCATGCTTGGTGAGTATTTTGCGTTTTCTTCTGTCGATTTCTCTAAGTTCCTCTCTCCTCCAATTCAGTATGCCAAAACTGTATGAAATCACGGGCACTGCTAGGCTGTTGATTGCATGGATTTTATTCTCCGAGTTCAGTTTTGTTTTAAGCACAAGACTTATGCGGCGGATGTATTCTTTTCGTATGTTGGTTTTCATTTTCTCTTGCTGAATTTCTTCCCTCTCATCTACTCCCAGGTATTTGTAGTGCTCACCTTGGTCTACACTTTCTATAGTTGTTCCATCATACAGTTGAATATTATCATTCTGGGTACATTTTCCGATTTTGAAAGTTACTCTAGCACATTTGTCCAATCCAAACTGCATTCGCACACCATCACTAATTTTTTTAACGATATTCAGTATTTGTCTTTGTTGTTGTTAACTTTAGCAAAAGTTTTCAAGTCATCCATGTATAGTAGGTGACTAATTTTGTTGTTTTCGGTGTTCTCGTAACCTACTCCTTGCTTATTGATCATGCTAGGTAAGGGTGAAAAACACAAACAAAATAGTAATGGAGAGAGAACCCTGAAAAATTCTCCTTTGTATTGATACTCTGCTAGAGTGGATCATTCCATCTTGATGGTGAAGATACAGTTCTGTGTTCCATGGCTTCATCGATTCTTCTATAAATTGTATCATAATCGGGTTGGCGCGATATAATTTTAGTGTCCTGAGAATGTAAGAGTGGGGCACACTGACATATGCTTTTCGGTAGTCAACCCACGCGACGCTAAGATTCTTTCTTCTTCGCGTCTTCCGTAACCATTTTGCTTATAAGGTGTTGTTCCTTACACCCCTTTGTACCTTGTCGGCATCCTTTCTGTTCTATTGGTAGAATATAGTGCTTCAACAGATGTTGATTTAATCGATCCGACAGAATGGCTGTGAGGATTTTGTTCTTCGGATCTCGGGAGTCTTTGCCCTTATACATAAGAAAAGTTGTCGCTGTTGCTAGCCATTGCGGTATTATTTTAGGATTTTCTAGCATGTTGTTCATTGTTATAGCTAATTTTTGATGTAGGAAACTAAATTGCTTTATCCAGAAGTTCTGCAGTTTATCCGGACCGGGTGCTTTCCAGTGTTGTGTACTACTTAATACTCTACGCAAGTCGTCTACACTAATTTTGCACCAGTCCTGCTGACTGATTATTATTATTATGATTATTACATTATTAACACCGCTCGTACTCGTTATTTCTTTTGCACTTGATTATTACCTGTCTGGTTGTTCCGCAGCCGGACTAACAGCTATGCTAGCCCTTCTTCCAGGACTGGTCGCTGCCGATCTACTTCCGCTGCCAGTGGCGGGACATGCACTAACGCGCCCTTGACCCGATGTGGGGTTCGCGGGCGAAGATGCTGTGCTGCGAGACGCACGGCGCCTGCGCGATGACGCGCTGCGGTGGAGCATCATTTTTGAATGTCGATGTTGCTACAGGTGGGTAATAGCGGTCATGGTATGATCCTGGAACAAATGAAGTAATATTTAGACAGACATAATAAAAAGTATACAGTTTGCTTTATAAATTATTGATTAACTAGTCGTGTAACCTAATCATGTACCAGACTATGCCATAATATGTCTATGCACGGTGCTTCCTATTATAAAAGGTACAACATATAGGGAACATACAGCTTTGGCAACTCAGCATTTCCAGATTAAACATAACTTCAACACTGATTTAGTCTATCATACAATGAAAGCAATTACAAAAGCGCTTAATTAGCGAGATGAACTCCATCTTTTTACAGAGCAATACTGTAAACAAAAAAAAAAACAGATACTGACGACCTTAGTCAGGTTTATAACTTCTTGATTAAAGAATTAATCAGATTAAAGGCTGCCATGTTGTCATCTCTTTGTTTTCTTCTTATTCTATACTTCATTTTCATAGTTGACCTGAGGGATGTTTGTTTCCATCGGGACGTGTTTTGCGTGTCTCATTCAGTAGGTAAGGATGTTTTGATTTTTACAGTTTTGCATACTTATTTGTCCGTTTATTTAAATCTGGGTTTTGATATGTTTATTTTACAATATCACATTTTAAAAAAAAAAACATATTTAACTTGTTGGAGTCTGAATTATCATATACTCACTTTTAACATGTACTCACGTTTATTATAGTCGATTTTTTGTTTTGGTTTGTTCTATAGTTTTTATATTCGTATGTATTTTTAGTGATTTTTTTAACGAACTATTTCCACTTCATCGCCACATTTAAAATTTCATGTATTTCTTCACATTTTTGTAGCCCTGAAGAGGGCGTTATTAAACGCCGAAACGTTGACAATTTGATTAAAGACTGAATGTCAATGCTTAAGTGGGAGATTTGTGAGTAGTTGACCTAAGGGATGTTTGTTTCCCTTGGGACGTGTTTTGCGTGTCTCATTCAATAGGTAAGGATGTTTCGATTTTTCCAGTTTTAAATATTTTTTCGTTTATTTAAATCTGATTTTTATTTTACAATATCGCATTTAAAAAAAACGTATTTAACTTGTTGGAGTCTGAATTATCATATAATAACTTTTAACATGTACTTACATTTATTGACATAGTTTTTTCTTGTTTGTTTTATAGTTTTTATATTCGAATGTATTTTTTAGAGATTTTTTTTAACAAACCGTTTCCACTTCATCGCTACATTTAAAGTTTCGAATTTTCCATGTATTTTTTCATATTTTTGTAGCCCTGAGGAAGGCTTTGTTAAACACGCAAACGTTGACAATTTGGGCGATTTTTGAGTCCATCTTAAGAAGAAAACTTCATATGAACGTTTGTCCTAAACGTCTTAACTTTTGATATACATGGTGGTAAAGTTTTTAAAAGCAAATCATCTGAAACGCCACTGACTTTTCTTAAAATAAAAAAGATGATTGAAATTGAATTCTTTTAATCCGACCCACTTCTCACTTATTTCATTAATTTCTCTGGGTGGTGATACAGGTATGTTCATATTGTTACAATCATGCAGAGAAACGGTTTTTATATTTTTTTTTTGCGAAAACCGCGCACCAAACTGAAAAAAGTAAAGCAATCAAGTTTTCTTAGAAATGATTGTGGATGGATAATTTTTTTCTACCAAAATGGCCAGGTGAAATTTGGTACGAACACACCGGTCGAAATACAAAAATGTGGTTCACTTAATAATGTATCTTCGTACATAGTAAACGTATGCCAAATTTTATTTACCTGTAAATATCCAAACTGCGATTACAGATCTTAATAATGAGTGATTTATTTTTGAAAATTTTACCACTCTGTATCTCAATGGTTAAGATGATTAAGATATACATTCATATGAGATTTTCTTTTTCAAATGGATCCAAAAATCGCGTCCTTGAATACTGACATTCAAATAGGAAACATACACAGGGATCGTGTCGTTGAAGTTAGGACTTTCCTTTGGATGGCATACAGTTCTTGTCTAAGTATGCACAATTTCATAGTAAAACGAGCCCCTTCCCACTTCAGTTGGCCCAACTATTGAAATCTTAGCTTTTTTCTGATCAAACACAAATAATAAGAATGTAGCAGGGTGGTATAGGTTTAAAATATTAACAATGAATATTTTGATAATATATAGTAGAAAACACCAACTTTATCACTCCCTAATCAAATTTGCAGTTTAAAAATAACACATGTTGTAATTACAACATATCAACCTATTTTCATTTCAATGCAAAATAAGTCTATAACGCATAGGTGGCTGTGAAAAATAAAAGCCATGACAATTGCTTTTATTAATCACAGCTGTCAGAATACGTTTAAAATTGTTTTGGGTAGTTAAGGTTTTCAAAATGGGTAGAGGAAAGGTTATTAGTGAGAAAATTCGGTTACTCATAATTAAATTTTTTAATTCTGGGAAATCAAACTCAGAAATTGTAACTTTGTTAGACTTATCGCGGTACAGTGTGAGAAATATTGTTAGAAGATATAACGTAACTGGTTCAGTTAATATTAAGCCACGATATGTGAAAAAAAGTAATATCACAAATGCCGACCGAAGAGCATTAAGAAGAATAATCGTGAAAAACAGGCGTGCCCGTTATTTACAATTAAGTGCTCTGTGGAGTGACGCTGTTGGAAGGAGAGTTTCGTGGTCCACAACTCATAGAGAGACCCACAAACTGGGATTTAGCGCTTGCAAGGTAAGTTTTCTTATAAAAAAAGTGAACTAAAAACCCTAAAGTTGCACAACTTGTTTATATACCAAAGAAAAGCCACTATTAACTCCACTGCAAAAGAAAAATCGGCTTAGATGGACTAAAGAACATAGACAATGGACACCTCAACAATGGTGTGCAATACAATGGAGTGATGAGGCCCGATTCGAAGTTTGTGTTGGTGACAGTCGCAGTAGAGTTATTTGCAAAAAAGTGAAGCATTCCATGTTGATTGTCTGAAGAGAAAAGTAAAGTTTCCAGCATCCATTATGGTCTGGGGCAGTATGTCATCAAAAGGAGTAGGAAAACTTCATTTTATTGATGGAAATGTGGATATAAAACAAATATTTGGCAATTTTAAAAGAATCGCCTTTAACAGTGATGGAAGAATGTTTGACATCCGTCCAAGATTTTGTGTTTCAGCAAGTTGGTGCAGCGTGCCATGCCTCCAAATAGGCTGTAAAATGGATGGAAGAAAATAATGTACCACTTTTGAAACTTTGTGGTACGAGATGAAAAAGGTTCTACGACAATAAATATAGGATTGTTTTACACCAAATTTTTGCCAAAACTTGGTTAACACTATGCCCCAAAGAATTTCAGAGCTGATAAGAAATAAGGGTGATGTTACCCAATGGTCATATTTCAATTGTTGCTTTGTTAACTTCGCGCATTTATTCGCACATTGTTTATTTGTTCAGATGTTCTATTAGTTATAGGTCTAAGTAATTTCTAATATGTATTTTTTACGACCAGAGTGTATCTAAATTTTTTTTGAGAAAATAGATTGTTTTAGAAGTAAATAGTTTCGTCATGTTTAGGCATATTTTGGTACAAATCTTGAAGTGGGCCATCTGAAGTGGGAAGGGGCTGGTACATGCACAAAGGTCTTAAGATAACCAAGATTTAACCAATGATTAGGTGAGAAGATACGTCAGGTATAGGCATAAGTAAGCTGAACTGTTTTTTTATAAATCAAATATGAAAAAACGGCAGTGGCACGCCTGAAATCGTCGATATGATGTCGGTTCCAGTCAGTGTATGTTGAATGATTTTGAGATACTTGGTGACTAAACTCAAATTATTTTCCTGTTGGTCTCCATCCTAAGGTCCGGTTAATTTATCTTGAATAACAGTCAATGGCGAGAGTTACTGTGCCATGCTTGATGAATTTTTGTCTCCAAAAGGTAAAGGTGGTGGCGGCATGGACGACATTTGGTTTGAACAAGATTGGACAACTTGCCACACAACCAACCCAAAAATCAAGCAATTGGGCACTGCTTTGAAAACCAAAAGATCAGCCCCAAATTAAGGATAAGTGTTATACCAACATCCAGGGACAACTGAGGCCATTCAAGAGACTCAAATCCAAACAATCGAATATTTTTGAAAATTGGGTTAATTGGGCGAGCTGCTGTCGGGCCTGCTATGGAAGTCATTTGAATGATATTGCATTCCATTTTTAAATGTCAGTGTTCACTCCTTCCAATTAAATAATTAATTTAAGAAATATTTATTAGTATGTTTCAACGGCCGATTAAAATTTCAAATTTAAAATGGGCCACTACGTGATAAGGCAGAAGAAAAAACTTCATACTAAGTAAACGGCTTTACCTTCTTTTTTTTCACTTTTTCTCTAGTGTATATTAGTTTTGTTTTCTCAAATTCCAACCTTTCAAATTACTCACGAAAAAGGCTAGACGGGGAACAAGCTACACACATCTTGTTCGACTTCTGAACTAGAACAAGTTCCTGGTAGATTTTTACACATTTTCGATTTCGTAGGAAATAAGAAAAGATTATATCGGTCAGTTCTGGCTATACCAGCAGGAGTCTTTTTGGTCCATTTAGCATATTTAAAACGTGGTAATATCGTAGGCACAGCTCAGGGGAGCTGTGTCTATTCACACTAAGATGGATGAGCCAGATCCAAACAGCATGTTAATGTTAATATTGACAAATTTTCGGTTTCCTTCTGAACTGCAGCAAACATAGACAGCATAGTCGGACCTGAAGCTACTCTATATCCCCTATTATGTCGGGTTGCCAGCTCAGTAATCGAAATGGGGACTATCAAATGTTGAGTACGTGGTGTCTCCCTTCTCGAACCTTCATTCAGCAGGCAGCGAAGGATAATTCGGGTTGGGTCGTGGGCTTCTTAAAGGAACGGATATTCTCATCATTTGTCTCGGTCGTAATCAAGGTGGAAATAAAATCCAAGAACTCTTGTCCCTTGAGCTGAATCTCGTTGAGATTTTTAAGCAAAAGGAGCATTGCTGGAATTTTCGAGGAAATGAATAAGAAA